CCTTCCGTCCGGGAGTCCCACTTCCTTTCCTCTCCTCCCTCCGATCACTGCGGCTAGGGCTGATGAGCAAGAGAAGGGCGCAAGGAGGAGGGAAGGGAGGAGAAAAATCGCCCAATTCCCCACATCAGGAGATTGCTGTGGGTCTACTTATGGAAAAAACAAAGTTTGCAAAGCCACTAATTTAAAAAATAGAATAAAAGATGTATCAGTAAAGCAAGGAAGCCCAATACTTCATAGAAAAATAACAACGGCGCTGCAAAATCAATAAATATTTTATACCGGCTGAGCAAATTATCACCCGTCTCCATACAAAAAATATTTTTCAAGTTTTTTTAAAAACAAATATATCAAGTTTCAAATATGTTAAAGAAGAAACAATGTATAGCAAACTTGAATAACAACTAAAAACTATCAATTTTCGATTCAAATATTTACACAACAAAGCGCATTCTACAAAGCAATTATTTTTCATGGTCTCTCTCAATATCAGTAGCTTTTTTTTAAAAAAAAAGACATTTTCCACTAGAACTTGATAGCTTTAACTCAGCGCTGCGACTGTCATACTGATGAGGTCTGTTGTAGTGTTGAGTCAAGACGTATATGACTTAATGGACCGAAATGTCTTATCTCATTCTTGCCTTCTTTCCTCATTTATTCCTGCTTTTTCTGTATTTAATCGCGCCTTCCGCTCTTCAGCTCTTCAGCAAAGAGAAGAGCGGAAGCTGGCAGTGTCTCAACGGACAATGGAGCGGCGAATGGTTGGTGTCAACAGGCTTCAGCACATTTCTAACAAAGTGTTCAGAGCCAGATCTGGGGTAAAGGATATAATCGAAGAAATGTACGCCAGAAAAAGAAGTTGGGCTGTTCATGTAGCAAGGATGTCAGATAACCGATTGACGAAGCGGATAATGGAGTGGTACGCGATGAAAAGAGCACTGGGGAGGCCCCCAGCACGATGGCGAGAACCAATCGTGCGCCTTTACGGTGTCATCTGGTCTCGTCAGGCTCAGAATTGATCGAAATGGAAAAGTTGCCAGCTGCATCGATGGAGTGACATCAGAGATCGATGAAACAACAGCTATTCAAGGTATTCAAGGTAATCGCGCCTTCAACACTTCGGCATCCAAAGTCAACTTTGATGCTACAATCGGCTTACAGCCTATCAGTTTGACAGCTCAGTTATGTTCTACTTTATAACAATTTGAACAAGGCACATCCTTTCACGCAGTACCACTCACTGAATTACCCACGCTTCGACCATCTACCGATGAAATCTTGTCACATCACCTGTTACAAAACCCGTTGATCATAATTTCTCATTCGCTACACGAATTTACCATCCGAAAATATCGGGGCGGCTTTTGACAGTGCTACGCCTTCGGTTGGAAATTCGCCATCGAAAGGATTTTTTGGTGGCAAAGCGTTTGGTAATCGAGAGAGTTGTTCCAAAGTGCGGCCCTGATTGGAATGCTCATACAAAAACACTCCAGGATACCTGAAATCAATTTAAAACAAAACATGACCAGTATCAAAGGCAGTCTCATCTATCCAACAGTAGTTTTCGGGTTTGAAGAAAACTTTGATACGCTGAGCAACTGTTGATTCGTCACTCTGATCCCTCTCGACACTGATGCAGCTAACAATTCCGTCCTTTATGGTTTAGCGATTTCACGTAACTTCCATACAGATTTTCCAAAAAATCCTCCTAACTCCCTAGTAGCTTCCACAAATATGTTTGAAATTTGCAAAGTAGATGACAAAAGATCAAAAAAAAGGAGAGTTTTTTTGTACGTACTTCCGACAATGCTCCTCGTATACATAACATATATCAGCGAACTGCTCAACACCAAGACGTATTGAGGTGGTTGTTGGATCAATTCGACACCGAGACAGCACATCTTCGGCCAGCGTTATGGCGAGCTCCTTCGGATACAGACTTCGAATGCCTTTGACGACATATTTTTGCCTATAGTTGAAAATACGTCGGCAGACTTTTTCAACCACCTAAAACTGGTACTATTTTTTACTAGAAGTATGCTGATCAGG